TAATTATATTTCTGTATATTATGAGATGCCTCTAGCAATAATGTAATTAACTGCTTACGTATTTTGACTTAGACATTCCTTTCAGATCAACATTTAATTGTACTATATTAAACTTCGCGATGAATGCGATACAAGTCTGAGAAGCCATTTTCTACAGACTTCTGTCATCGGGTTAGCTCAGTACGTCTTATGTTCTGCTTTGGTTCTGGGTTTCAGAGGAGGGCGTATCGGAGCATTTGCGGGTTAGTTGGAATAGATGTTTACCTTCATTATTTAGAATATATTCTGCGTATATTTCCTCTTATACACGTAAGATTATAGCACACGTCTTTTGAGATGACGTCGGTGAAACAAGGGAGATAATGGGACCTGCATTGCCTGTTATTATAGGCAACAAGTGTTTCCTAGTGACAGAAGTATTTATTTAATTATTCGAGCAAAATAAAAAAAGTTGTTCTTCAAGTTGCGGGAAAATGTGCAGCGAAGCAAAGCTTTGATATTGAATTTCTGGTATTCAGGTAGATTCAAGTTTTGAGTTAATCGACCGTTGTATCCAGTGACGAAGGAGAATACGCGTCATCTTCCAGGTTGTTTGAACTGATTGCGAATTTCTGGAAATGTCTGTCGAAGACTTTTCCACTTTTTAGCTAACATGCACTTAAATAAATGGATCTGCCATCACCTTATTCTCATTTTACTTACAATCGATGTTGAAGTAAAGTGGTAGAATTGAAACAAAATTTCATGAAGCTTCCAGTTTGCATGTTAGCGTCAATAACGTTTGTTTCGTCGTCATGACGTCACGCAGGGTCGCCAATCGAATTGTAAAAACCGAATTACGGTAAATGATCCCTCATTGTTCTGCAGACATGGCGCTGTCGATGGACACGGGCTTCAGGCGTATTACTACCAATGCAATTGGTCTGATTGTGCTTTCAAATTCCAGTAAACAAGTTCTATTCAGCATTCTCATTACATTGTAAGAATTTAATTTAGTAAAAGTTAAGATTGCTGTCTTCTGGGGTTATTGCGCCATGTAGTCTGGTAGATTTACACGAACGTTCAGAGGTCACGCTGCCTCCGTCATCAGGGCGATGAATGTGACTCACCGTTGTGAAAAACCTCAAATCCTACACAGTAAAAGTGGCATTGCAGACCCAGAGGTCGCTTAGTTTAAGGTCATTTCTAACCTTGGTGCTGTGTTGAGGTGAGTGGTTAGCTTCGTGCCTCGAGGAAAGAACCCCCGGTTTGGACGAAGAGAAGACACCTGCTCTGCCGGAATTCGAACCTCGGTCGTCAAGCTCGTTGCCTAGTCATTGTATCTAATTTTATTTTAATCCATTTAATTGCTGTTTTTTTGTAAACCAATATAACGTAGCGATTAGTGTCAAAGTTCTCAATTATCTTATTTTATATGACCTGTAGATGTAAAACTACTGAGGTTAATCGCTCACAGTAGTCTAGTGCCAAAGTCGAACGAGTTTGATTTACTCTCACGATCTCTACACGACTGGGTGCCGTGTTGATTACGTACAACGCTACCCTAACCTTAAATTTTAATAACAAGCATTTACTAAAAAAACAGCCGAATTTTTAATTCTGTATTGCTGCATTCTGATGAACTTGCGTAAACTTGATTAAATAGCGCAAGAAATGCAAATCAGCTGACAGAAGTGTGTGGAGTGACGGTGAAAAGAACCCAATAAGGAAGATTAATATGTAGCGTTTTGCCAAGGACGAGTTATATTATTTATATCTGAAAAGAATTAATGTGAAGGACTGTAAATTGAAGAATTCCTGCTAACTACCGATAGCTAACCCACAGTTTATTAAAAGCGAGAAAACCGAAGATAAAATTATAGATTCTTACTCTAATTTTATGGTGGTCTAGCGGTTAGAACGCTGGCCTTGTAATCCTGGGGTCTCGGGTTCGATTCCCGGCGGTGCCCGAATTTATAACTTGTGTTGGGCAAGGCCGTGGTCTAGGCAACACGGAGTTTTCCTCCGTGGCATCCCAACAATTACTCCATTCACACACAGAAGAAGGCAATGGCAAACCACTTCTGGATCATCTGCCAAGAACGTATATGAACAGGTCCCAGTCCGAGAAAAGGATGGAAGGATCCTGTTCATATGGACCTGTCGTCAGACAGAACACTAAATAAATAAATAAATTCTGAAAGACACATATTTAAAGAACACCGAACCACACGTGGCCTAGGCCGCCTCTAGGAAAGAATGCAGGTCGATAGTGGTTTTCAATATTTCCTTATTCCTGATCTTCCAGCTTTGTGGGTTAGCTCACTATTGATCCCGTGTCTTCAGCTATCAAACATAGGAGAGTTGAAGCAATAATTAGGGTGTTTTATGCCTGCAGTCAGAGATGCCGTCTGGCCGGTCCTTGTATCTGCGCGGATTCAGGCAGAAAAGGTCATAAGGTCATGAGTCAAACGAACAGATGGGTCGCAGTTTCGAATCTCGCCTACGGGGTTGGAGCTTTTATGAATTTTTAAGTCACCCACATCTGTCTTTATTCACAGAGTTTGGATCCTAGCCTTGGGATTGTGCCTCACGTTAAGGCAGATAGAATAGTAAGGAATAAAAATTATTGGAAGCTGCTTGCAGGTCTTGGTGTATTTGTGTGGTCCTTGAAAAGTCGCCTGGAGGAAAGGATCCGTTATTAAATTACACTTCTTTTCTCTCAAGGTGTCGCAACAGATGAAGCATGTTACCGCGTTTCATCTTCTTCGACTTTTTTTAAGGGTCTTGGCGGCCAGAAGGCACAGAGAACGATAAAACAACCTGCAGTGGCGTAACCATGTTATTTATTTAAAAAAAAGCTCATGTCAGTTCTTTTGATAATGCTGAGGTCATCATATACGTCATACGTCGGGCATATACCAAGGTTTTCTTGATATCGTTAGAAACTGTTCTGTTCTCGTAAACAAGTTTTGCAGAAACTTTCCATGCTGTTAACGATGTGTTCATATTTTAATTTCTAGACTTCAGAGAAGAATATTGTTAAACGCAGACTGATCTTTAACAAAAAAAACTGCACCAGAATCGCTTTTGAAATTCTGTATCCTGATTTATTGCTGGCAAGTTATCACAGATACTGTGTGGACATATCGTACTCTTTTAACATTCAGCTGTTATTTTAGTGGCAGTGTCAGACACGAAGATATATCAGGAAACGACCTGTTTTCAATAAATAGCGGCCTTCGACTAGGTGTAGCTGACATATGGATGCATGTAAGTTCTTCCTTCTATTGCCTTGTCCAACTTTAGGCGTGCTAATTGTGACAGAAATGAACACAGTGGTATGCCGTTGGCACTGGGAAACGTAAGAGATAGCTAATTCAGTGCATGGTGGTATTAACCCTTTGAAGCCGAAGATCGTCTGAATATTATTTATGAATTCAGTCCGTACCGCGAAGAAAACACTACACCTCACCATTACGAAAATCAGCTGGTCAACCCTTTGAAGCCGAAGCTCGTCTTCATAATATTTACGAATCCAGACCGTACCGCGAAGAAAATACTTCACTTAACCATTAGAAGTCGAATCAGGCGGTACCACATAAGATTTAACAAAAGAACATCCCGGTCGAAGCCTTAAAAACGAAATCCACTAAAACAAGTTCTCTTCGTGGTATTAAAGCTTTGAAACCTCTCCAACATTCATTTCAAAAGGCCAATCTGTGTTTGTCGATATACGTCTAACCTAGGTTATCTTAATGAAGTTACATTCCGGGCGATTTACGTTTTCATGATGTGTAATAAATTAAGCTGTCTCTGTTCTTCCCTAGAGATAAAAGTGCGGGGGATTAAAGAGGGTTTCTTGAGTCCTGTCTGTGGTCATGTGGAAACTCAGGGGCTTTGCCGTGTACGAAGAATTCGTGGAGAGGTTTGACGGTGGTGCTGGTACAGCGGTGGGAACTGCTGTGTGCCTGCCTTATCGCTCTGAGTTTTGGGCTCTTATCTCGACCGCAATCGATAATAAGAAATGTGGCCTGAATATTGATGAACGACGCACTTACATCGGTGGCGGCTCGTGTGACGGAAATAGTAATCACTGTTATGAGGAAACTTTAACGGCTTTAGAGGGACAACTAAGTTTGTAGCGTCCTGCTATGATTAATTGATTCTTGGTTTATTATAAGGCTTTTTATCACCACCATTTCCCTTAAACATATGTGAAGATTCAATTGAATAAAATTTTTCTTGGATATTATCCATCGTCTAGTAAATATAAAACGTAAAACGACGTTTCGGAGATGGGACTCTATCTCCGTCTTCAGGTTCCTACTCAGTTGGGCCCACTAGATAGAGCTAATCCCTATCTCCGGACTTCTTGGATATTATCCATCGTCTAGTAAATATAAAACGTAAAACGACGTTTCGGAGATGGGACTCTATCTCCGTCTTCAGGTTCCTACTCAGTTGGGCCCACTAGATAGAGCTAATCCCTATCTCCGGAGATATTTTTATTCAATTGACTCTTCACCATCGTCAAGAAGTTTTAGATTTGATATATGTGAAGATGTATGATTCCGAAGATGGCTGTCTTCTGGGCTTTCGCGCCGTGTAGTCTGGTAGAAGTCTGCCGACGTTTCAGATGCCCTTGCTGCCTGCATTATCAGGCAGCAAGGACCTCTGAAACGTTGGTAAACTTCTAACGAGACTACACGGTGCGACAACCCAGAAGACAGCCATCTTCAAATATGAATGGCTTTAAACTTTAAAGTTTCTCCTGTCTTCTTAACGACGTGAGGCTCCACTTATACCTCGGACAGACTAAAATGCAAGTTCGCAGGCAGTTACATGTGTCGGCCGTGTGTCAGTATCTTGTCGTCTTGGTGGGAAAACTTTATGCTGGCTGAGAAACCATATCAGGACTGTAGTGACTGTGGGAGGCCTCGTAAGCGACCCTCGGACTTCCCTTCAAGTAGGACGCCGCGCCCTTGTAAACAGTGACAGCATTATGTAAACAGATGGGTCGTTCAGTGCTTCCGTGTAACTTCCATTCTGATGAACATTTCACACGCGCTTGCAAAATTGCTTGCACTGGTGAAGAACTAGCAACTTCAAAGGATACATACACGTACGGTATTTTATAAAGGCGTGTCTTTACGATTTGCATGCGTCGCTTGGCTTGTGCGATCTTGTATTGAAGTTGCAGTTCTGCGTAACATTGCATAGTTGTTCGCGCTGCAGATAACCGTACAATGTTCGTACTTTGAATTATTTCCCCTCGAGTGTCGAAAAATGTACGCGAAATCAGAGAACGTTTCGAATAAAAGTTATAGTTTTTTTGTATTGGTTTATGTATTTTCTTTTACGGAAAGCTGATTTATCGTGCAGAAAATTAATACAATTTTTTGAGTTAAATTCATAGAAAGACTTATGTTAAACCAAAGGGAACAAAATTAAATTCATGTTTCACTTTTTTGTAAAAACAAAAAACTGTCCACTGTCAAACTTAATCGTAATTCGTCGAATAGTTGCGTTGGTGAAACAAATAGAGTTTTATGATCTTTATTAAAAGCAATTTATTATTATTATTATGACATAGTCCTTCAGCCAGGTGCGTCATCGCTGCAAATGACGTATGTAAATCTTTGGACGTATTTAGCATAAACATTGTCTCCCTTGAGCGAACGTTCTCAACAAGGGAAATGATCTAGATAGGTTGTCTTGTAGATGATCTAGCTTCGTTATCTGTTTTTTTATATTCTTTAAAGTTTTACAATTATGTTAGTGTTCCCTAGGTGGATTATTTGTTTTTATTTATATTTATTCATTTATTTTGCTCTGTGTTAATATTGTTTCTATTTTGGGTTTGCCTGTACTTGGCAGTTACATTTAATACTGTACATGTATAAGTTTAGTTAATCCGTTTGTTTACTATTCATTATTATTTCACTATTATTGTATGTATTATCAGTGTTTGCCTGTTATTGGCTTCTTGCTGTTGGCAAACACTTAAATAAATTATTTGAATTGAATTGAATTGAATGCTCGCTATTAAAGAGTGTTATAATGCAGTGACTGGCACTGTATTTTGTTTGTATTAAATTTAAGTAACAAAAATCTTAGTTCCTTCCATGAGTTTGTGAGTAAATAACAAAGTTACTTTTCTCAACTAGTCTTCATTGCACAATACTAAACAATGCACTGACTGTGAGAGCAGGAAGTGATGTTGGTAGCTCTGAAGGTGAGCGACGTAGCTCCACAAGGTCTTTCCATGTTAAGAGTCTGTTACAGCAGAGAGATATATTACTTCGTCCAGCCTCCCGACAAAGTACACTAGATATTAAAGTGCATCTACATAAGAACGTCGTAAAACTTTAAGTACAAATCTTGAATCGTAACCATCACTGTTTAATTTTTATCATACGTGTTACTCACACGAGGATTTGCGTTTTTAATTTATCATTTGTGTTTACAGTACATTATTTGACAACTTTTAGTTAATATCATTATTACTAGTTTATTTATTTCATTTTCACATTGAAATGAATCTAGAGGCTATCTTCAGTGATTTAATAGAAATGTTTTCGAATTGTTCTAACATCTACGTTTCGATTTAACTTGAAATTTTAATGTATAAGATTTATAAAATATATTAACGAAATTGTAATTACAGACTAAGGTAACTAAAATTTTTATGAATGACCAACGTGTAGTCTGAAGTCTTCGAACCACAGGTGTGTAACCGTTTCCGTCCATGGTATATTGAAATTCTTTATTCTTTCATGTATAATCGATATAAATGTCCAAACTCTTTTCCTCGCTGTATGAACTACATCCGTGGATCCTGAGAGTTGAAGCGTCCTTCTTGACAGATTCTGATGGAGGTACAGCCTTGATTTCGCTCAGGTTTTGAACCTCCCACTATATTAAAATCCTCTCCAAGATCCGGAAGTTTCTCAATACCTTTCTCCTTACGAGAAGCTTGGATGAATCGTAGGGTTCATCTTCTAGTGTACTCTGTCAAGGAACAGGGCATCTGGCTTCATCTTCTCAGGTGTATTATTACCTTCAGTACCTGTGGGAAATTTTGCCAGTCAGTTTAGTACCATACGCGGATAATTGGAGACTTTTATATTCGGATTCGTTCTTAGGGACTTTGGGTGAATGAATCTGAAAGAATAATGGGAGTACTCTTGCATGGACGGGGAAATACATTGTGAATTCAAAAACCATGATGTAGAGAAGTAAGTGGAACAACTTCGGCTGTTTTGATAAAATTACGAGGAAATGCGTACCACTAAAAGCTTATGAGCCTCCAGCTCCAGATCTCATTTGTCGACTTAAGCATTCCATCGATATGTAAGTTGTCTCTTGTTTCACTGAATCTAACAGCTCCGTCGCCAGATGGTTCTGTGTGGACTGATATGTATGAATAGCAATCCGTAAATATTTCAATCCCATAATTATACAGTTTACTGGTTACTCAAATTACAGCTGATGGGCAACCCACAGGACGCATGTGCAGGTTAATTTGTCTAGCTGCCGGGGACAAAGATAATTAATCCGAATTCTGCGGTGTAACAAGCACATGTAGGCCACACAACACTGGCTGTGGTTTGCAGTTGCAGATATGGGCATTTTCATACCTTCCAGCTGTATAATTTGGCGTGTGCTATCCGTCAAGCTATGGCAGTAAGCAAATTTGAGCATGAGACCCGAGATTCTCACGGTGATGAATATGTCAGTGTTAAACAGACGCTATCTAGCGCTGGGCCTCACAAAGAAAGGCCAAGACATGATGGTATCTTGTTCTTCTCTACGGGTCATAAGCTTCGACTGTTTCAAGCTATTTATTCAGTTGTTACATGAGTTATGGCAGATACCACATTATATGGCGACTTGTATTCGGTAGGTTGAGACATCCATGTTGCTCGAGTTATCATCCGCACAAGATGTTAGCCCTCGTAAAACTGATTCAAACTGTCCAACTTCTTTACTTGGTGATACAGGTTTCGAAAGCGGGTACTTTAGCTGTTGGTCGTTTCTGTTATGGCCGTAATAAATAACGTAAGACAGTGCGGACTGTATTTGTCTGGCTTCCGATACCGGCCAATACCATGCTCTTATGAACATGGCCATAAAATGTCTGGTTCCGTAAAAATGGAAATTCTTGAATTGTTCAGCTATGGAGTTCATTACCATCGTCGTCGGCCTAATTCTTAGTGTCTGTTTATGAAGACCCGTAGGTAGTCCTGTTCAACTCTTAGCAGGAGTTG